AAAGGCATAAAGGGAACTACGAATGCAAAAAGGAAAGATAAAAGAAAAAAGAAAAGAAAGATATCAGAGACTAAAGACCGGACGAAAGAAAATGCAGAGGGGAAGAAAGAATGTTAGAAACGACGAAAGAAAAGGGCACCCCCGCCCCCGCAATTAGGCCCTTTCATAAAGGAAGAGACTCCAAGCAGTTTAGCGGCAGCGGAGCCCCGAACTTTCCAGAAAATGAATTGTCGCCGCCACAGATAAATTCGCATTATTCTTCATGGCCGTCCTGAGGCCTGCGGTTGTCGAGATCGTATACACTGTTCCAGGTGGGAGAACGAAGCCACCGGGCGCTCACCTCGCTTCGCAAAAAAATACATAATTTCACAAATGCCCCAAGTGGGGCGACGGGGCGCCTCTCGCCCCCTCCCCCTTGGCCGGCGGCCCGAGCCCGGGCGGGGGCAGGAGTTGACACGAAGGTTCCAAGTCCCCGTGGCCGGAACCCCTGGGGGCGCGGCAGCTGCGCTCAAAGGCCGGGCTATAAAGGTCATAGGCGGTCTGTGGGGCCGCACTGAATGGGCTCCCGGAGGTAAACAGACTCTTAACTTTCAACTTGGCCTTGACCTTCCTGGAGGTGTCTGGGCGGTATGTAAAGGAGCAGCTGAGGCTTTCAGGGCATTTGGCTGGGTCCGTAAAGGGAGCTGGGGGTGGGGAACGGCTCCGGGGCCCCGGAGGGTCGGCGTGGAGGCTCCCAGCAGGACACAAAGGAGCCTGTGCGGCTGGGGGAAGGGTTGGCTCGCCCCACTCCCCGCATTCCCTCCCGCCCCCCCACCTCAGGCTGGGAGGTCTGGAGGTCTGGGTTGTCCTGAGACCTCAGCGGAGCTCAGGTGGAGCTCCAGGGAGGATTTGGAAGCTCTGAGCCTCAGTTTCTCTTTGTGGGCACCTCAGACATACTCAGGGCTGAGAGGCAAGTGAGAAGTGACAGGTACTCTTTAGGGCAATTGTCCTTTTCAACTGAGAACAGGTGGCTGTAGTTGATTAGACGCAGGTACACATAGAGAAGCACAGATAGAACTCATTCTGATTCAGTTTATAAAATGCTCTCAAGTGCAAAATTTCACTTAATTGTCACAGCATTCCTGTGAATCATTGTCCCCAGGAGGAGACAGATAATTTTTACAGATAAGAACAATTAGTCCTACCTTAGCTGACTCCAGTTAAGGTCTATGATAGGTCACAGACAGATGCACATACCTATGCTGTAGAGATCATGGGAACGCATGTTCATATGCTAATAAACATGACATCCAGAACTATTCCCTGGGATCTAGTAGATACTAAATAAATTGTAGAGTATAACGAAAACAGAAACAAAAATCCTGTGGTACTTATTTGTACTGAAATGGATCTGTTTACGTAGGGGTCCACAGCACAGCTGGGGAGCTTAGGGAGGGCTGGGTGTGAGTTCATCCTCTCCGCATTCCACAGTAATGCAGAGCCCGGGGCATTTGGCTGCTTATTTTGACCGCCACGGATGTGAACTAGAACACTTCATATCCCCAAATCACAGTGACAGGCAGTGTTGCTAGGAATCTTTACATTCTTGTGTTTAATTATTTTTCCTTCTAAAAAATAGAGATAAAACAGAAGGACAGTAAAGTGCAGAAATATCAAGCGTACAGCTTGAATTTTCACAAGGTGAACACACCCAGGTATCTAGCAAGTAGACTGAGCTCCGGAATATTTCCAGCACCTCCGAAGGCTTCCTTATGTCACCTCCCAGTCAGGAACCTCCCTCCCCAGGGTAATCTCTTCTGATCTCTATCACCATAGATAATTTTGCCTGTTCTTTAAAAAAAAAAAAAAAGATTTTATTTATTTGACAGACAGAGATTGGCGCAAGTAGGCAGAGAGGCAGCCAGAGGTGAAGTGGGAGGAGAAGGCTCCCTGCTGAGCAGAGAGCCCAGTGTGGGGCTCCATCCCAGGACTCTGGGATGAGCTGAAGGCAAAGGCTTTAACTCACTGAGCCGCCCAGGTGCCCCAGTTTTGCCTGTTCTTGAACTGAACAGAAGTAGAATCATACAAAAGTTGCTCTCTTGTGTCTGGCCACTTTCATTCACATATCTGTGTGACTCATTCATGTTGTGTGTAGTGGTAGTTTTTCTTATTGCTACATAGTACTCCATTCTTTAATTAGAGCATGATTTACTTACCTATTCTACTACCGATGGACCTTTGGTTTGTTTTTATTTTTGAGCTCCAGTGAACTGGGCAGCTTTGGACATTTTAGTATGTGCCTTTTGAAGGACATAAGCATTCATTTCTGTTGGGTATATGTCCAGGAATGGAATTGCTGGGTCATAAGCTAGGATTAGAATTTTTTATTTCTGGGTGCCTGGGTGGCTCAGTCGGTTAAAGCCTCTACCTTCGGCTCATCCCGGGGTCCTGGGATCGAGCCCCACATCAGGCTCTCTGCTCAGCAGGGAGCCTTCTCCTCCCACTTCACCTCTGCCTGCCTCTCTGCTTACTTGTGATCTCTGTCTGTCAAATAAATAAATAAAATCTTTAAAAAAAGAATTATTTATTTCTAAATTTAGGGATCTATATGCCTGTCCTGTCATCTACCAAGTTAAAACCAGTGAAAAGGGGCTCTTGGCTGGCTCATTTGGTGAAGCATGCAACTCTTGATCTTGGGGTTATAAGTTCAAGCCCCACATTGGGTGTAGGGTATACTTAAAAAAACCCCAACAATAAAGTGAAGAAGTCTTAGTATGTAGGTACAAATCCTGGTAGTTCTACTTTTCTTTCTTTCTTTCTTTTTAAGATTTTGTTTATTGGACAGAGAGAGATCACAAGTAGGCAGAGAGGCAGGCAGAGAGAGAGGGGGAAGCAGGCTCCGTCCTGAGCACAGAGCCTGATATGGGGCTCGATCCCAGGACCCCGAGATCATGACCCAAGCAGAAGGCAGAGGCTTAACCCACTGAGCCACCCAGACGCCTTGATCTGCTTTTCGTTGTTACACAAGCAAGAGGCTATGACAAGAAACTAGAAAGCATCAAAGAGATATCTTCTCCTTTTTCTCTCATACTGTTTTCAAATAACAATTAAATCTATCAAGGGTTTTGTGCTTGATGTCTTCTATTACTACCGATGTTTGTTGAGGGTGAGTTGTAATCTCAATACAGCCGCATAGCTTGGGGAAATTCCAGTTTGCATGGGCCCTTTCCTGAAAGATGGCTCGTTCAGGTTTAGGTTGGTAAGGTTGAGCATGGCTGAGCCCACCTAGAGTCAGAATGGTTTGTTCTGTATAATTGCTGTGACGTTGGTGTGGAGTGGAAAAGTTCCTGCCCTCTCCAGAAAAACTGGAGAAAACGTAGAGTCAGAAGGATTTGATTTGGGAGGGATAGCAAAGGAAACAAAACCTCTGAAGGTCTGTGAAAGAAATTGATTTGAGTCTTCTGAATTTCACTGTTCAAAGGGGCCCTACAGAGGGACCTCCAGCAATTCTCGCAGAGGTGGGGCTCTCTCTCTCCCTCCCTTTTTCCTTTTAAGGAAATGTAAAGCCTGGAGGAAGCAGATAGGGGTCCTGGGCTTTCTGAACACTCAGTTTGGGTAGGAATGTGCCAGGGTCAGGTGCCAGGTCAGTATAAGAGGAGAGCTGCAGGGCAGAGAGGCCGGACATCTCCGCACAGGGCAGGCTCCTTCTTTCTTGGGGTCCAAAACTCCTGCAACTAATGTATGGCCAATTAGGCCTGGCTTCCCAGAAATTCTTTAAAACCCAGAAAAGGGGGGAGAAGAGGTCCTCTTTTCTGGCTGGTACTTCAGGATTTTGTAAGATCCTCTCCCATTCCTTCCTTCAACTTTTCTCTTTTTCTCTTTGTGCTGATGTCCCTGGGTCTCTCTCTCTCCATATTCAGGTCATGTGTGTCGCCTCTCTCCGTATCTCTTTCCACATCATTAAATTAAAATCCAGACCCTCTTTCACAGGCTACGTCTAGAAACTCCACGTCCGTTTCAGATCTGAACGTTGCACGTCCCAGGCCCCAGATCCTCCCTCATCTTCCGAGATCTTCTCCCCCCTCCCTCTCCTTCTGCCCCACCCCGATCTGGGAGCCGCCTGGGCGGTAGCTGGGATCCTTGGGGAAGGGGCTTCCGAGGCACTTCCCCGGACAGCGTACTATGCGCAACCGGAATTGGAGGGGCATCCGGAGTGAGCTGGGATGCTTGTACCCAGGATCCCAAGCCAGGGGCTCACAGAAATACCTTATAGTCTCCATTTCCCAGCCTCCTCTAGTTCACGCACATTCCCAGGTTCCCCTTTCAGGCGCTGAGCGGCCTCCGGCCCCACCCCCGACTCCCCCCACCCCACCCCCAGCCCAGGAGACGACGCGCACTTTATAGGGAGAGCTTTTTATTCTCTCGTTAAACCTGCCAAAGCCCAGGAGACAGGGAGGGAGAGGAGGCTGGCGGAGGTGGGGTTGGCTCCTCGTCTTCTCTCCCTCCTCCTCCTCCCAGTTCTCCCCGCCCCCTCCCGCCTCGGAGCTGGGTTTCCCCAAACTGGGAAGCAGCTTTCCTTGCTGTTGCAGTTTTCCAATGCAATAAAAGAGAGGGAGAGGGAGAGGGGAAGAAGGGAAGAGGGAGAGAGGGGAAGAGAGAGGGAAGGAGGGAGGAAGAGAAGGAGGGAGGGAGGGAGAGAGGAAGAGAAGGAGGGAGGAAGGGAGGGAGGGAGGAAGGAAGGAGCGGGCGAGAGAAAGACTGAAGCAGGGTAAAGTATTTTCGCAATTTCTGCCATGAAGATTTTATGAGCTTCTCTCCCCCCGGCCGCAGCCAATCAGCGCGCGTGCCCTGGCACCTGCGTGTCCTGCGTCAGGACGGCCGGGCTGGAGCGAAGGCAGGCGCCCTGCGAGCTGGGAGCGGTTTAAAACGCGTTGGATTCCTGGGGGCCTGGGTGGGGAGAGCGAGCTGGATGCCCCCCGGATCCCCCACCCCCAGCACCCCATGAGCCGACCCTCGGCCCCATGGAGCCCGGCGATTATGCCACCCTGGACGGGGCCAAGGCCATGGAAGGCTTGCCCGGAGCCGGAGGGAGCCGGAATCTAGCCTCCCGCTCCCCCCTCCCCAGCCACCCCGCCGCCGGGGCGCCTCCGCTGCTGCCCGCCGCCGTCAGCTATGCCCCCCTGGACCTGCCGGGCTCTGCGGAACCGCCAAAGCAGTGCCACCCGTGCCCCGGGGTGCCCCAGGGGACGGCCCCCGCTGCGGTGCCCTATGGCTACTTTGGAGGCGGGTACTATTCCTGCCGGATGTCCCGGAGCTCGCTGAAGCCCTGTGCCCAGGCGGCCACCCTCGCTGCCTACCCCGCCGAGACTGCCGCGCCCGGGGAGGAGTACCCCAGCCGGCCCACCGAGTTTGCCTTCTATCCGGGGTACCCAGGACCCTACCAGCCAATGGCCAGTTACCTGGATGTGTCGGTGGTGCAGACTCTGGGTGCCCCGGGGGAGCCCCGCCACGACTCCCTGCTGCCTGTGGACAGTTACCAGCCCTGGGCCCTCACCGGGGGCTGGAACGGCCAGATGTGTTGCCAGGGGGAACAGAACCCACCGGGTCCCTTCTGGAAGGCGGCATTTGCAGGTAACTTGCCCCGCTATTTTGGGTCACCTTGGTGCTGACAGGGAGGTTATAGGCCGCGCTGGCATGGGAGGAAGTGAAGGGAGCCTGGGCTGTGGGCTTTGCCAACCTAGGAGGCCATGGGACCAGCTTTTCATTAGGTCCGAGTGTTTGGTTCTTTTTGCTGCTGCTGGGGCTCAAGCTGTTTCCACCTCTCAGATCCCATGTTTAATTCCACCAAAATGACTCAATTCAGTGAGTAGGGGTGGTGGGGTGGGTAGGAACACAGATATCGGATATTCTTTAAAGAATTCAAGCCCTCATTTTGTCTCAGATGAATTTTTCAGTTTCCAAAGGAAATTTTAGATTTCCTGAAGTCATAACTTAGGGGTGCGTATATGTGTGCGTGTTGTGTGTGTATATGTGTGGTGTGTGTGTGCGTGCGTGCGCGCGCGTAAATGCATGCCCTTCTCTACCTAATTTGCCTGCAGGATCTGTAAGAGAGGCCAAGAGGCTGAAAATGCATGCGAGGGTGGGTATGTGTGACTGTGGGCAAAGGTCTGGCCATGCGTGATGGGTGTGTTTGCAGACCTGCAGTCAGTCGCGAGGACAGTGATAGGTGAGGGTGGCCTGCAGAAGCTTGGTCTTTCCAAGCCTAAGCGGTCATCAGAAACCAGCCGGAAGTGAAGGTGTCCCCTGGTGCTCTGGGGGAGTGAGAGTGTACGCGTGTCCAGAGGGTGATCTGGGTGCTCCTGTAGGATTACTTAGCTTGTAGGGCCGGGGGTCTTCGCCTGGGCTTGTGGGCAGAGGTCTGAACGAGGTTTTCTCTCCCTCCTTCTCCTGGGCACAGAGTCAGGCGTGCAGCACCCTCCAGATGGCTGTTCCTTCCGACGTGGCCGAAAGAAGCGCATTCCTTACAGCAAGGGGCAGTTGCGGGAGCTGGAGCGCGAGTATTCAGCGAACAAGTTCATCACCAAGGACAAGAGGCGCAAGATCTCGGCGGCCACCAGCCTCTCAGAGCGTCAGATCACCATCTGGTTTCAGAACCGCCGGGTTAAGGAGAAGAAAGTCCTGGCCAAGGTCAAGACCACCACTAATCTGTGAGGGAGATCCCTGGCTGGGAGGTGGGGGAGAAGTGGGAGTATCCTGGGGAGACCCAGAGCCCAAGGGTGCCAGGCTAGAGCACAGGACTCTGCTGAGGGGCTCCCAGGCCACAGCTCCTGGGCTGTTCCTCAGGGATGGCCCGGGTACCCCTGTGTGTTCTAGGGTGCCCGTGAGGCCCAGAGTTAACAGTTCAGTCCACCAGAGTAACACACCACCCACAGGGCAGGTGGTAGTCACAATCATTCATCCTGGTGGTGGCAGTAATCTTCATAACCAGTGTGAGTTACTATGATAATTAGTTTCATATTTTCTAATTAGAGCTCTGAAGAGCACTTTAGAAACTGCTTGCATGAATTGAGTTGATTATGAATAAACTTGGAGGGAGACCCAAGGCAGGGAAGCTTCCTCTGGATCCACTTCTGTTTCCAAATCCCATCCCCCATCCCAGTAACTGCAGCAAAGAGGAGAAAAGGCAGATTCATCCCTGTGACTACTCTTTCTTATTTAGCATTTTTGTAAGATGACCCCTGGGCAGGATGGACAACCCTGGAGGGCACCTCTCCCTTCCTCCCTCCGTCCCTCCCTTGCTGCCCACTCCCAAGGTTGTACCCAGCCATTTCAGAAGTCCCACTGTGAACCTTTAGATTTTGTCCTTGGGTGAAAATGAAGCCAGAGAGCTGCCCTCCTGAGTCCAAGTCCTCTTTCCTCCAGAAAAACTGAATTTGAGAAAGTGCCTGGATAATTCTCCATCTCTCATTTCCTTCCCTAAACTTTCCAAGTCTTCCCTTAACCTTCCCGGTGGTTTTGTCCAGATTATGGTTCATGGGGCATTTGGGAGCTGCATGAGATAGGTATTTGTGGCCTTGTAGACGTGCCCCTCCCAGGCACAAATAGTAACGGAACTAGAGAGTAGAATGTGACCCTACTGGCAGGCACGTCGCAAACACGCTGGAATAGCCAGGGTGGAGAGAAAACCAGAAAATGGCCCTTCACCACCCATCCCCCCTCTGCTTGCCTCCCCTTGGTACTAAGAGAAGCTTGCAGGGGGCCTTGGGCCTGGGAAATGGGGCAGGCCCTTTTGTGTGTATGTGTATGTGTGTCAGGGGAGAACAGTGGGTGGCAGAAACCCAAAGACCAAGGTCAGGCATCTTAGGCAACTGGGGCTGCAGATTTCTTTCCTTGTCACTTTGCCCTGGTTTAGTCCAAGTGCCCTGAACCCTGGGTGGATGGAAGATCACGTTGGCACCAACCCTCTTTTCTCCATCCACGTAGACAGAGACTCATAGTATGGAATTCCAGAAACCTGGGGCAGACTGGCTGTTTGCAGAGCTGCAGAGCCCAGGACCCTGACACGGAGTCTTTACCTCTGTGCTGCCTCCCTCCTGTTGTGTACCTGGGCCCAGGGCCCTGTGGGATTCAAGACCATGGTCCCACAGCCAAGTCAGCTGGTTTGCCCTGGGTCTTCCTGTAGCCTGGGCTGGGGCATCCCGGTGATCTAGAGCCCAGGCTCCAAGTGGAGAGGACCTGTACCACAGACGATCCAAGCCGCCATCGGAGCAGCCTGTGAGGCCCGCGGTGACCATCACAATAGCCTCTAGGAGCTGGCTCAGCCTCATGGTTCTCCAGGAAGCCCTGTGTTGCCCAGGGTTTGGGGTGTTTACAGCCCGCCGTTGGGTGGGACCCTAGTCCTGGCTCCTCTCCTGGGAATGAGATGGGAAGCAACTCAGATTCTCCTAAAATCTATTTACCAAAGAGGAACCCAGGGCTAAGGGGAAAGGCCCCAAAGATTGCCAGTCACCCTTCCCTCTTGGGTCTTGAGAGACTGTGTCGGCTTTGGGGTGTGTGTGTCAATTTTGTGATTAAAAACAAAACAAAGGGGCGCCTGGGTGGCTCAGTGGGTTAAAGCCTCTGCCTTCAGCTCGGGTCATGATCTCGGGGTCCTGGGATCGAGTCCCGCATCGGGCTCTCTGCTAGTCAGGGAGCCTGCTTCCTCCTCTCTCTCTCTCTACTTGTGATCTCTCTCTCTGTCAAATAAATAAAATCTTTAAAAAAACAAACAAACAAACAAAAAAACCAAAAAAACAAAAAACAAAACAAAACAAAACAACCTTCCAAGCCCCGTGGTCCAGTTTAAGCTCTTGGGTAAAGCGCCTGGCTCAGAGGAAGTTACTTCCTGCCTTTCACATTCTCCTTCAAGAGGTCTCCAGCAAGCAGCTTTAACTTTGCAGGTTCTCAAGAATAGTGTGTGCAGACCCCTTCCTCACCACTTCAGAAATGGCGAGACTTAGTGCCTATGGTCATGGGGGCAGGGTGTGGGACACATGAAGGGGGCTCCATGGTGCGGGGTCTCCACACGAGGAGAGGAAAAGCCCCACAAGGGGTTGACACTTTAGGACTAAACTAGCCAGCCTAGGTGGAGGCCTGAAAGAGACCTCGAGACTCTGCCCTCCCAGGGCTCTATCTCCTCCACACCGTTACCAGGGACTGAAAGTTTCGTTCTATTATTCGTTCGCAATAATTTCAGAACGAACAAAAGATTTGGGACTTCAGAGATTTATTTGGCTATCAATGTGAGTTTGTGGACTATTACAAAGGCAAGGGCGCCCCCTGCCGGCAGAAGTTTGCTATCTCAGGGAAACTCCCCGGGCGGCTGGGCCTTAATCCCCCAACCGAGCCTCTGGCTTCCGGATGCCTGGGGTCTGGGGCCTCCGGGGGTGGAGAATTTGGGGTAGCTCGTGAAAGAGCCAGGATCCGGAGCCGCCTGGAATTGGGCCAACGTACCGGCCCATGGATCGGTCCAGCAAGCGGGAGACCCAAGAAGAAGGCAAGGAGGGCCACACGAGAGACGTGGAATAAACAGGCCAGTCGGGCCTCCAAGAGCAGGGCTGCGGCACCTTCTGCCCCGGGTCTAGGACTTCAAGAGGCTGGAGTGTTATCTTCCTCCGCAGAGCAGTTCGCGGCGACACCGCCCCCTCGTATCCCCCCCATCCAGGGATGAACTTGGAACCTATGCAAAACAAAACAAATTTAAATTTCTTTTGGCTTTGAATCCTTTCATGAAACCCCTTTCCAAACACCATTTTTACTCCCGAGGCACATTAGACACCCCCCCCTCCCACCGAGACCGAGCATTTAACAATCTCTAGCTAATTTGTGTTCCATTTCAACAAAACCCATCTACCCGCAGTCGCTTGTCTACAGCGATTTGGTTTGGAATAGGGCCATCTGTAGCTACTGGGCAGCGTGTCTTGCTAAAAATTATTCAGCCTGAAACATGCGAACACAACGTTCATAAACAGGCAAATTCAGACAACATTCTCATAAACAAATGCACGGGGAAGCGTACAAATACACTCCCGAAAATTCCCCAGAAAGTCTTTATCTACCAGCGTAATTGTCTTCCGAGCTGCCCTCCACGCCCTCTCCCGGACTCCGAGCCGAACACCTCCCGCTGCGAGTCTCAGCAAGCGTCCAAACGGGATCAGAGGGTCGCGTCTACATCGGCTGCAGGACCGAAATCAGGTCTAACTCCTTTTTTTTTTTTTTTTTAAGATTTTTATTTATTTATTTGACAGAGATCACAAGTAGGCAGAGAGGCAGGCAGAGAAAGAGAGGAAGAGAAGCAGGCCTCCTGCTGAGCAGAGAGCCCGATGCGGGGCTTGATCCCAGAACCCTGGGATCATGACCTGAGCCGAAAGCAGTGGCTTTTATCCACTGAGCCACCCAGGCGCCCCCGAAATCAGGTCTAACTCCAAAGCAGTTGTATTTTATTAGGCTTCCGGAGGCTGAATTAGGGGGCACTGGTGGAGAACTGCACAGACGCGACCTCTGGAAGCTCTTTTCGAATCTAAATTCCCGCGGCAGCCCGGCGGAGAACCAGGCGGGGGGGCTCCAGCCCTGGGGTCCTTTACTCACGCTGGCGAACGCTGGCGGCCGCTCGGGACCCCGCGAGGCCGCGGCCCGCGGAGAATCCGCAAGGCTGTGTCCCCCGCCCTCACCCCGCCTTACTGTGAGTCGCTCCAGAGCCGGAAGCTGCCCCCGAGGCTGGAAAAAGGCCCTGATCGAGCCCCGCCAGCGCTCCCAGCGGCCCGGCTCCCCTCCTCCAACGCGAAAACTGCCCTCCCCTTCTCCCCTTCATTAAAGTTTTATCCGAGGTCCTAAGTGCTGGACTTTAATTAGGCTTCCTTCGGGGGAAGCTCTGCGCCGCCTCCTGCGTCTGGTCTAATAGAAGCCGCAGAGCTACAATGGTGGGTCAGATACGTAAACCTGCAATAAAGCGCGGGGCGCCTGCTGCGCGGGGGCCAAGGGAGGCCGTGCTGCTGTTTTTGAAGGAATTTGTATCTTCTTCTCCCAGACCTGAACAGTTCCTCTCCAGGAAAGGGGGCAGAAAGCCCTAGAGCGGCCCTCGGCCTCTCACCTGAGTGGGACACCCCTCTGTTCCCCGCCCCCGCCCCGCCCCCCCCCCCCGCCCCCTTTCCCCCCCCCCCCCCCCCCGCCCCCGCTGCTGATCTGGGCCCGGAGAGAGACTTAAAAACATCCAGTGGGGGCACTGATGCCAGCCTTTCTGCCTCCCTCCGCTACAAGTTGCCTCTGTCTAGAAAGGGGGTGGGGGGGTGGTCGATGGGGGGAAGGAAAGAGTTCCACCACTGGCTCCCCTCCCCTAAACTGACCCCGAAGTGAGAGAGGGGACGGCGGCAGCAAGAGTTCAGTCGCCCCCAGAATGAGGAAGAGCGACAGCTTTTGCCCGAGCCCGGAGGGAGGGGCAGAGACTTTGCCATTGAACTTGAAGTTTCTGGTAGGTGGTCTCCAACGCCTCCGCCCCTACTCTCTTAAACGCTTTGCAGGAAGAGGGGGGAAGTGGGAGGAGGGTGGGGGGGCACCTCCGGTCTTGGGAAGGCGGGAGAAGGTCAAGCCGCGGGGGAAAGCCTGGAGGGACTTGAAGAAGGGCTGGGGACTCCGAGGTTGGGGGGAGGCGAGGAGGCCTCTGTATGCACTGGGGAGGGGACACTCCGGCCTTCGCCCGAAGTGGGGAGCCTTCTGTTGTGCGCCCTCTCCCTGAGCCCCGCCCCAGACTCTGCTGGGAGGGGGGCACCCAGTGCCGCGCTCCTCTCCTTTCTCCTCTAGCCTAAGGTGAGCCAGCGGAGCCCTGCGCCGCTCGGAGGCTGAAACCTCCAGGCTGGCGCCTGCCGAGCTCAAGGCCTCGACGCAAGCTGACTCCCGGGCCGGCCTTTGCAGAGAGAACACGAGTGTTGTGCACCCATTCCTCAGACCAGGGACTGGCTAGTTTCAATACCTCCAAGAGTGCGTTTCTCCGTAATAAGGTAAACTAACTGACCCCATAGGCCGAAGGCGTTGCCGCTCTGTCTGGGACCCGCTTCAGAAAGCTCTGGAAGGTCTTCCCAGGAATGCGGAGAGTCCACGATCTAGGCGGGCAAGGAAGGGCGGGTAAAAGGGACTCGAGCTCAGAGACTGACCACCAGGCGAGGGCATCTCCACCTTGGTTCCTGGAGAGATGCGCAGCTGCGGGAGTGGAAAGCGCTTCGCAGCATGCGGGACGGGCATGGCCTGGGCAGGGGAGAGGCTGGCAGGTGGGAACGAGCGCCAGCCGCTAGGCCCCCCAGATGACCGCTGTTGGTCTCCGACTGAATGGAGTCCTGGCAGAGACAAAGTCAATATTATTGTTAATGCTACTGCTATTGTTCTTATTTAAAAATCAGAATTCTTTGCAACACACCTGTTTTTGAAAACTCGGTGAAAATTAACTGTAATGAAAACACTGATGATTGACTAACTCACCGTTAATAGAAAGGCTCTGGCCCTTAAAAAGATAAATCGGAGGGCACGTGGCTGGCCCCGTGGGAAGAGCATGGGACTTGATTTCCGAGTGGTGAGTTCAAGCCCCACGTTGGGTGTAGAGATGACTTAAATACATAAAATTAAAAAAAAATTTCAGTCTACTTTAGTCTCTGAACCGCTGCCCTCCCCCCACCCGGCCCCCACCATTCCTGAAGCCTTTCCAGAAGCTTGGTAAGCACCAGGATCTGAGGAGCAGCTGGAGGGGATCCACGCTGCTGGTGTTATGTGGACAGGGGCTCAGAGCCCGGATCAACAGCTGCGGGAGGGGGGCACTTGCCCAAGTCATTAGGCACTGACACTGCTAATCCTTTGGTTTTAAGGGAGACACAGTAATCTACACGCACACTCTGGACTCACCGGTACCCCTTTTCCCTCCACTCCAAGCGAACTCCTCCTGCTCATGCGCCCTTCGGAGCTACTGCTCTCACACTGACAAAACCTACAGTTGAGCGCACACTTCATAAAATGAGGAAATTGAGACCAAGAGAGGGTAAATTACTTGATCAATGTCCCTCGGCCTGCTGCAGCAGAGCTGAGCCCCAAAGCAGGAGCTCTTTTTTTTTTCTTTTAAAGATTTTATTTATTTGACAGAGATCACAAGTAGGCAGAGAGGCAGGTAGAGAAAGAGGGGGAAGCAGGCTCTCCGCCAAGCAGAGAGCCCGATGCGGGCCTCCATCCCAGGACCCTGGGATCATGACCTGAGCTGAAGGCAGAGGCTTTAACCCACTGAGCCACCCAGGCGCCCCAAAGCAAGAGCTCTTAATGTCTAAAATCCTCTGTCTACACCACCCGGAGAGATCAGGAATCCCAGTCTCTTCCTGCATGCCCCTTTTCACAAGGGCCCCCTCGACACTGACAAACACCTGTTTGCATCAGCAGCCATCTCCTGATGCCACACAGGTGCACGTAAACTCCTTAGACCTACCTTCTTCTGGGTGTACCAGGCAGACTTGCATAAGTGCAAACAACACCACCATCAACACGTGATTAAAGACAAACGGAAATTTAGTTCAATCCACTACTCATTTACCAAGGGCCTACCGCGTGCAGAATCTTCCCCTGGGGGTGGGAGGCTTTTGGAGAGACAATGGAAAGACCATCTCCCATCCCACTAAGCCCTGCCTCACGCTTGCCGCCAGATCTTGGGTCTATAGCTTCCTCAGATGGGACCTCTGATGTCGCGTGGTGGGGTCCATGACTACAACCAGAGCAAGTCTTTCTCACAAGTACTGAGAAAGATTCGCCCCTCTCCCCGTGGCATCTTGGGGAGTTTCCCAGAAAAGGTCGTCTTGGAGTAACACCTTGAAAGATGTTTATAACCTAAATCCGGGAGGGAAGATGCGAGCAAAACTCGGGGAGGAGGCTGGAAAACGCAGGCTGTGGAGAAAGATCGGTGGGGACCGGGTCTTTGGCTGGGCGGAGCAGGCAGAGAAGCGGGCAGGGGCGTCAGCACCGGGTTCTGAGAGCTGGGCGAAGCCTGCGCAGTGAGCAGTGAGCCGCCGCTTGTCGCCGTTCCTACGGTGACCGCCCCACTCCGGCGCAGGCAGGACTGCACCACATGTCGGCGTCGGCTACCGGCCGGGCACCGCAGGCCCCAGGCAGGGGAAAAGAGACAGCGGGACTGGTACCCTTCCTGAGGACCCGGGGCTCTCCATTCTAGCCTCGTCCTAGACCTGCGCTCGGCCTTTGTCCGACTGACAGTTGAGTTCACTGCCCTTCCCCCTCCAGGCAGGGTTTTGTCATCGAACTTGAGCCAGGCCATAAACATTCCTTCACCCCTCGGGGAGCTGGATCCGGCCGCGGAGCGGGCGGAGAGAAAGGGGGCAGGGGAGGGTTGTGGAAGGACCCGGAACGGAGGGGCCGGGCCGCTCCCAGCCAAGCCTGCACTGCTTTATCAACAAGCGTCTGTTCTTTGTCTTCTGCGGAAAACTCGCCAGGTCTGCATTAAAAATCCCGGTTATTGAGGCTCTCCAGCAAGTGAGAGCAGTGTAGTAGTCAGGATCGACATAATGGCAGCTTTTTCATTTTCACTCTTTGCTAAGTCATGTTTTCTTACCTTATTTTTAGGCAGCAAAATCCCCTATATATATTTTTTTAATCACTAGGAAAAACAAACGCATAAATAACGAAGGAGGGGCGCCTGACGAGCCTAGTCGGTGGAGCCCGAACTCTTGACCTCGGGGGTGGTGAGTTCGAGCCCCACGTTGGGTGTAGAGATTACTTAAAAAATAAAATCTTAAAAAATTAAATACCCAACGAATAATAGCTAGAGCAGATGAATTATTAGAGAACATTCGAGTACGTCATTCTGAGAAGGTCGCCTCTATTTTCAAAGAGCCCCTCCCCCAGCCGGGTGATTGCAGCCGGCAGCCGCGGAGGCCCAAGGAGCCCTCCGTCTCCTCAGGCTCTGCAACCTTGAACTTGGGAAATGGGGCGTCCTCCCCACCCGCACATTCGTGGCGGAGAAAATACTGGCCGGCGGAGACGCCAGACCCGGGAAGCTGGCGCGGCCTCCCCAGCGACAGAGCGGCGGAGGCTGCACAGAGCGGCCTGTGGAGACGGAGTTACCGGTTTGGGTTTTTTCCATTTTCTTCTTCTCCCCCCCCCCCTTTTTCTTTTAAGGAATCTAGGATCCTGGAGCAAGGGAAGATCAAAGACTTTATAATGCGGTCTCTTCCTGGCTGCATAAGCTGCAGTGTCATGGGGACAGGGCGCGCAGGGTAGGGGGACTCCGCTACTCCAGGTCCCGGTGGCGGCCGGCTTCCCCTCCCTGGCGGCTCGGCGACCGTCAAGAAGGCACCCAATACCGCCGAACCAACGAGAAGCACCTGGCCTCCTATTTGGGGCCAGATCTAGAGCCCGGAGGCAGCGCCACCCTGGCAAACCCGAGAAGAGGCCTGAGGGAGTTGTCGGGATGAGGGGCTCCCCGTTCTACCCAGTCCCCCATTTGGTTTTTGCCTGATACGGGACTCGGATCGAAGGGGTTTGTCGTTTCATCTTCCTCTGCGACCTTGGATCCCCAGGCTTTCTGGGCCCTGGAAAGATCCCAGCCAGGCCTTCTCCCTTTGTCTAACTTTGCAGGAGAGGGGTGGAGAGGCGTGGCACCTGGGTCAAGTTCACTGACCAGGGCCACATCTTTTAGGGCAAGTGGGGCCAAGGTTGGCACCCAGACCAGGAGCACCCTAAGCAATCAGGACTTTGTGTGTGTAGTGGGGGCTGGGAAGCTGGGGCCGAGGAGGGGGAGGAGGCGGAGGAGGCGGGGAGGCAGAAGCCGGTAGAAGGGCTTTTCAATTTTAGTTTGTTGTTTGATTCTCACATCCCTGCCCTCCCCTCCCCTCCTTTCTGTACAGGAGAAATCACGGGATCCATCGGAAATGAAGGCGTTTGTGTGGAAAAATAAATGTCAAGATCTCATGGAGTGAGCTTCCCAGAAATGGTAGTAAGTTTTTGGCACTTGGGTCGTTTTTGCGTTAGTCCGGTCCGGAGTTTGTGAAAATTAAGGATTTACAGTGTTGGACACAACCTTTTCTGTGGAATCCGATTCAGAGTAAAAGAGGCCACATCTAAAGTTCCCCAAAGGCTTCAGACTAAAACACATTGAAATGATTACCCCCAACATTCTTGCCTTAAAAAAAGAAAAAAAGAAAAAAGAAAAAACCCTCAAAGTGCAAAAAACATATCCAGATCACAGAAAAGAAAATGTGGAGCTTTAAACCCATGCCTATTTTAAAAACTAATTTTAGTAAACAAGCATTTAAAACATTTTTTTTTTTCCCATTTGAGATTTTGGTACTCCTGTTTTATAACCACTGCTATAGTGACTTTTGTGTCCCCTCCTCCCCACCTTAGTTATACACATCCTGTCCTGGTTTCCTTTTCTTTTTAATTTTTTAAAAGCAAGCTCTACGCCCACTGTGAACTCAAATCCTGATATGACTGACCCAGCCAGGCGCCCCATGATTTTAAGAAACACTATACTCTGACTACATCCTAGGCAATTTTCCAGGTTATTACAGTCTTCAAAATGCCATTTAAAAAACCACATAGGGGCGCCTGGGTGGCTCAGTGGGTTAAAGCCTCTGCCTTCTGCTCAGGTCATGATCCCAGGGTCCTGGATGGAGCCCCGCATAGGGCTCTCTGCTCAGCGGGGAGCCTGCTTCCCCCCCCCACCTCCCCCCACCCTACTTGTGATCTCTGTCAAGTGAATAAATAAAATCTTAAAAAAATAAAAAACCATATAATGTGCCACAAAATAAGTTGTTGTAATTTAGAAAACCATTTCCCCAAATGTTTGTCCTTTTGTTTGATCCACATTTAAAAAGAAAATAGGTTTTTTTCTAATTAGAAAAGTAACAAATTCCATCATCCAGAATCTCAAAGATAAAAAATACAATGACAAAAATAAAATCCATCCCATATTCTACCATCTAAAGTTTATCAAAGCTAATATTTTGTTGTATTTTCTTCAGTTGTTTTTCCTTCCCTATGCATATAATTTCAAAACTGAGTTTCTGCATGAACATTTGTGTATCTTGCCTTTTAATTTAATATTATTCTCAGTGTCATTAAATGTTCTCCAAGAGCATGGTTTTAAGGATTGCATAGTATCTAGTCCTTGAGGTATGTCATCAAGTGGAAAACCATTTCTACATTATGGATCATGGAGATAGTTTCCATGTTTACTTTTAAAAATAATTCATAAGCGAGAAAGAGAACACTGTTATGCCCCTAAGTATGTTCGATAGGGAGATGGGAGTTGAATCTTCAAAATTCAAGCACTAGAACGCTTCACATTTTC